CCGACCCGGAACCAGGTCGTCGTACTACAGTAGGTGTGGCAAATGTGGGTCGAGGTGTACCATTCTTGGTGACGATCACACTGGTCGATGCAGGTGTGTTCGTAACCAGGCGAAAAGCACCTTCAACCACGCCATTGCGCTATCGAGCTGAGAAATGTGCACTTGACGCTGCAACATGGAGAATGGGTGAAAGGGGTCATTTAGATGGCGATGCGAATGGTGACTAAAACAAACCCCGGTGTTAATTGGGCTGGCGTCTCCGCAGTTGTAAAGGTTTCACTTCCGCTTACGAACATGCACACATTTCCTTACGCTCGCTTTTTTATTGCATCCCGTCACGATAGCAAGATCTTCGGTAAATTCAATTGTATTTCAAAGTAGCTCCCTGAACCCTAAACGGGTTCGAGATCCGGACCCGGTGAACAAAGGTTCAACTCGGTTGTTTCACAGACAACGCGTGAAAACCACTCGACAGTGTTGCGTCGGCACCTGAAACGTGGAGAAATCCCCCAAACTGCGTCTTGGCACGTGGAGACCCTGAAAAACACACTTACTAGCCAGTAAATACATCGTGATGCGTGTTGGCACATCGTGATGCGTGTCGCCACTCTATACTACTGGACCTACACAACTGGCCGCGCTTCGTGCACGGCAGACTCGTCCGTGGCTTCCATACTGCACAAAACCAGCACACCCAAGGCTCCTCAGACTGGAGTCTAGCGTCCAATCAGATTGGCTCCCTTTTCATTCGTTTAAGCACCATGCCTCGGACGCTGCCGTGGCGAGATCTGGGCTTTGAGCTCGGCCGCGACGAAGCCGACGCCATCCTGGCCACGTTCAAGATCCACAGCACCGACAAGAGCAACACAATGTCCTGTAGCGTATGCCGCGTTGGTGACCACCACAGCATGCGCTATAGGCTACTCAAATGCGAGTCCAGCACCTGCAGCGACCTCACTTGCTCGTGGCGCGGCAAGGTGCTGGACTGCTCTCACTCTGGTGATACCTACATCTACGAGTTGGGCGAGCACTTCACTGGAGCCTCTTCCCCCAAGCGAATTAAGCTTTCCAGACAGCAGAAAGAATACTGCCGAGAGCTCGCGAAGCAAAGGCTCCGACCACTTCGTATCCAGTACGCCATGGCTCGAAACTTCCACATGTCAGCGAGCGACATCCCTCTTCTGGGCAAAGTACAAAATTTCTGCAACTACTACGCGCGTACCGAGCTTGACAACCACGATCGCGTCGACGATCTCACGCAGTGGATTCACTCACACGCGTTCACTGGTACTGAAGACGATAATGAGACTTTTACTTTCGCTTGGGATCTGGACGCAGATGGCAAGCCTGTGGTGGGCGACGGCTCGGACGAAGAACCTTTCGTTGTGGGTGTAGCGACAAAGAACATGGTGAAGAGGCTCTCAGTGCCTCCAGAGAGCTACGTCCTTCATATGGACGCGACGTTCAAATTAAACCCGTCCGACTACCCAGTCTTAGTGGTTGGTATATCGGACCGAGCTCGCAGCCTCCATCTCGTGGCAGTTTTTATCGTCTCGCAGCGGACGCAGCCAATCTACGAGGCGTGTTTGGCTTCTTTAAGCCGCCTGTACTACTGGATTACAACTAAAAGGCTGGCTCCTCGATACGTAATGGGAGACGCAGAGAAGGCGCAGCGGAATGCCATTTTTATGGTATTTCGCGAAGATCCACAGCTTCAGTATCTCATGTGTTTTTTCCACGTAATGACTAACGTGGAAAAGAGGCTGAAGGGATTTTCCTCACATGTAGCAGCAGCACTGGTTCGTGGTCTGTACGACTTGCACTTCGCCCGTGACGAAATATCATTTTCCTGGATGCTGGAGCAGTATTTGCAGACCTGGAGATTGTACCCTTACCTGGTCGACTTCTGTACGTACCTTGACGAACAATGGCTGCGAGGAAACTTTACTATGTGGCAGTGCTTTCGAACTCCCTGTGCGTTTGCTACCACAAACAACCCTGTTGAGCAGTTCAACCGAGTGTTGAAGCGTGACTACACACTGCGACGTCGCCTTAAAATGGGAACTCTGCTTAAGGAGTTACTGGCAAGCGCAGTAGCGATACGCTGGGAGGAAGACCTCGTCTTATTGGGCCTGCGCTGTCTCTAGAGTAAAGTATCAGCTCCAGCACATGCGTACGGCTTGGTAGATACTCAGGATCGGGTGCAGTGGTCTTTTAATACGTCTACAGTAACAGTTAGAGCGAGCATTTACATCATAACACTTTTGTTTTCCTCCAGCACCTTCGCCTCGTACACGTAGGTGGCGGAGTAAGGTGCCACACGTCGCTTAAGACCTCCTGATCACAATACAACCGAGGATATAAACTAAAACGAAGTTTTGACTCCAGCATCAGAGTTATTACGTGCATATTCGCAGTTGACACTCACAGGCCTTATACGCGTGGTGATGCCAGTGCTGAGAGCGAGGAACCGATCGTAGTCGAATTTGCGCGCTTGCACAGTGTCCGCTCAAGTAGCAGTAAGATACCTGTTAGGTGTCTGTGTTGCAGAAGCTCATATCGGAAGTGCTGGATCACCGCAAGATGTTCTGCAGCGAAAAATAGACCGAAGCTGATGCCAAAATCAAACGTGTATTATGAGAACCTACACTCCTACTACTCTTCTTGCCAGCACTCGTCACAAGCACACTTAAACCACACTTCATCACCGTAGTTCACCGTTATCTCAGTGCCTGCCTTCACAGCCTTCTCATTACGACAAGGATCTTAACGTTGCGTCCGTTGCGCATTTCAATGAAATCCGCGTTTGGTACACAGGAATGCGAGAGGAATCGCATCAAGGAACCACACTTGCCAGCTTCGATGTACACGTACTTCTTGGTTGTAGACTTCGTGTAGTACAGCATCGTGTAGCCGCTGTTGTACTTCTTTGCCACCTCTGGCTGACCCTCAATCTGCTCCTCGTGCGCACGTAGCTGACCCACATACTAGCCCAAGATGTCCCCGACGTCCAAAAAAGCAGTAGTATACACTCCTAAACCAAAACGAGCGGTTTCAAAAAGCTTCAGCGTCGCTCGGTTCCTTGGCGCATTACTGCACAATGCATCTAGCCGACAACATTTCGATGTGCAGTAGATGGAGGACTGTGCGTTCTCGCAGGTGTCGAAGAAACAGTCGCCAACGCAGCTACAGGGATCGAAGTCTCCGACGTGAGGGAACTGCAGTCCTTCAGGAATTCGACACTCATTAATCTCGTCCACTCCGTTCGGCCACTTAACTGTCACTGCAGGCGCCAGCGATACCTCAGCCGTATCCTTCTGCGTCGTGTAGCTCGGCCGTAGTACGTGTAAGGCTTTCAAACGCTCTCGAACGAACGGGAGCTTCAGGAAGTTCTTCATCTTCTTGGCTGTAACGTTGCGAGAATGGTAGACGTTGGCTCCAGACCTGGTGATCGCACTACGGGCCATATGCTTCCTCTTCCGCGAGCGGGGTACATGCCACTGGTTTGACCGCTTTTTTGCTTGGTGGCAGATTTTGTTTATTTCCAAACGAGTCGGTATAGCGGCCAGGTACTGCTGGGGGTCCAGCACCTCATCCGGGCTCTCCGAAGGTTGCGTGCTATCTGGAGAAGAATCCTCGCTCTCCGCACTTGTTCCTGGATATGAGGAAACGGGTAGTGTGTTAATGCTGGGCTCTACACGCACAGTCGTAGTGCTGGGCGTCGAAGTGGTGTTCATCACCGATTCCAGAGACTCAGAATCAGAATCAGAAGCTGCTAACTGAAGAAGTATCTCCATCCGAACTTGTCCTGACACCTTTTCCTCGCTCGCAGGTCCTTCACTAACGTCTGTGCGCTCGCCTCCACTTGTTGCGGGTGGCTGAAAACGTAATTCAGAGGTGCTGGAGACACTAACGTCTCGAGCAGCTTCGGAGACTCTTCCAGCGAAGTTTGCTGCAGCGTGGGTGTCCGCCGCTTCTCTCTCCACTCGTAGCTGCTGCGCCACTGCAGCAGAGGCATCGTCAACTGCTTGTCGTATAGCAGATTTTAAAATGGTGGATCTCGTCGGGAGATCCACAGAACCATCCACTAGTTCGTAAGTCCTCATCTTTCTCCACACGGCGACTTCAAATGGTATGCCAGAGATGTTGGCCACGCGGCGCATCATGTGCGACAGCTCCAGGATCTCGCCGGTGTCCACACGTATCGGATAATTTACGTCATTAAACTGCGCGATCCTCAGAACGCGGCTCTTGCGGTAGCCTCTCGCGTCTCCGGCAACTAACGCCCGCGAATAGTACTGGATCAAGTCGCCGGCTCGGAGAGTCTCGTGTGGTAGCTCGCTGCGCTGGAGGCGTACCATACTGCTGGCGCTGGTGCGGCAGGGTGATCACCGAAGGCTTGCACGCGACTGCCAGGTTCCGATCTCGTGGGCTGTTGATGAGCAGCGGCAGCCCACCACATTCGGAAGACATTTGCTTCCTTGAACTTCGACGAACTGGGGGCCTGTCTCTCTCGCTAAAAGTGCGTCGCGAGGCGTGCAGACGCAGGCGCCTACCAGCAGTCCCGTCCACGACGTTTTGTGGGATGGTTTCGTGTGTTTTTCAGATCTGTACATGTGTTCTTAACGTTTTCTCTGTTTCACATTGACAGGCTATCCTCCTCCCTTGCAAACGACTTTGTTGACGCGGTTGCGATCAGGTACTTCTCGACATTTGTAGATTAGCAGTAATCTACTGGGGTTGGCACGCTTGACCTAGTTTCAATACATGTAAACTTCCCGTCACTTTGCTCTTCGTCGCTACAATACACGCGTTCTCGAGCACTTCTGTGTTGTGCGTATTTCATATCTTCCCATTCGAAACGCCGCCAAGTTCACTGCACATTGAACAAGTAAAGCTACTGTAGTATAGCACTCCCCTCCGTAAAAAAAACTAGAAAAAAGCACAAAAGGCGGCAAGATGATTAAAAAATCTCTCCATGTGCTTTGCTGTTTGTGGGGTTAGTAGAGTCGCTGAAGCTCATGCAGTGCCACTAGGCTCTTCTCCGTCGCCTGGATCTCGGTTTGCAGCTGAACAAGACGTTGTGCGTCTTGTGCTTGCACGGTTTCAGGTACTTTAGTGACGTAGTGTGGTCCCTGCTGGCGTCGGACAAGAGCTTCAGCGGCGGAGGTACTCTTGGCGACACGCTTCTCTAATCGGGATATCTCGTTAGCTACCCGTTGCGTCGTCTCAGCATCGTCCGGGACCGCCAGCATCACTGTGTTGTTGACAGTACAAGTAGTACGTTAGAGCTTGTTACTACGTGAGCGCAAGGTACAATGAAACTCAAACAAACCTCGACAGGAGTCCGAGACGGAGTGTGAGAGTACGTGAGGCGACGAAGAGGACGGAAATCCATCGCCAGATACAGCGAAGTCAACATTGACGCGGCAAAGCGTCTCGACGTCACGCTGCGCATCCTTCAGCTCGGAATACACAGTCGCGTTGGAGCAATCGATGCGAACAGTAGGACGCTCACTTGTTAAGACACACGTGAACGTTTAGTACACATCATTGTCAAAAAGTGTTGTAAGCTCTGTACCTGTCAGCCGTTGGCGTCGCGTTGGGGGCCAGAACTTTGACGGTGTGGCGAAGTGAGCGAATTCCATGGATCACGTCGATGACAAGCTGTAAGAACAGCGAGTTCGCATAGGATTAGCGAGGGGAGATATCCAGCTAATAGAGGAAAATAAAACGTACCGCCATCCTCTCTTCAGCATCCGCGTCAATCCACGAGCTCACGTGAGACTGTTCCGGGTACTCTGCACACAAGATTGAGGTCTCGACGTCCTCTTCGCGTGATGCCGTGAGAGGATCTGCCTCCCGGATACGTTGCCACAATTCTTCCGTGACAAACGGCGTGAAAGGGTGCAGCAGGCGCATCGAGTAGTCCAGACAGCGATGCAGCGTAGCTTGGGCGCTCCGCTTTCGCGCACGTCGTTCTTCCGTGCAGTCATCGTCTTCTTCAAGGCGGTTGCCATACAGCACTGGCTTGCTGAACTCGATGTAGACGTCACACAACTCCTGGACGAAGAACCGTTGGATGGCCGAGACGCTCGTGGCTAGCTGATTCGCTGCGATGCCGTCGTTCACCTCGGACGTAACAGCAGCCTTCAACAGCGACACAAAAACATGATTAGTAAGGTTTAAACAACGTTAGAAATGCAACAAATTGCTCACCAGTCGACTCAAGATCCAGCGATCAGCGAGCGTCATGTCGTCACGTAAGAGAGCGAGATCCACCGACTCCAGAGCTTCGTCGTCCCGCTCGAGCAGTGGCAGAGCGTAGCGTACAGCATTCCACAGCTTGTTGCAGAAATGACGATACGAGACGACACGCTGCACGTCCATGTTGATCTGTCGCCCTTGTTGGAGATACGAGGCGAGAGTGAAGCGTAGCGCATCAGCTCCACACGTAGGGATCCCCTTGGGGAATTCTTTCTGCAATTCCTTCTCTGCCTTCTGGAGTTCTCGAGATCCGACATTTCCACCCTACGAAAAGACCTGTCAGCTTTAGTATCATAACAGCTACATGTAGAGAGTGGCTGCCTTTTGTACCTGCAAGTCCGAGAGTAACTGGTCAAGACTGATGCCATTTATCACGTGCAGCGGATCAATGACGTTGCCCAGACTCTTGGACATCTTGCGACCAGCCTTATCCCGAACCATTGGATGCAGTAGCACCTTCTCGAACGGGACGCGACCGGAAAACTACGTCAAGCAACACGTTACAAGTTATGGACGAGACAGCAACTAGAGCCGTGCTCACCTCTTCACACAGCATGGCCATCCGTGCCACCCAGAAAAAGAGGATATCAGAACCCGTTTCCATGATATCCAAAGGGTAACTCGCACTCAGATCTTGAGTCACAGCGTCACCGCTGCTCGCATTAGGCCAACCCTGTCACGCAGATAGTTAGAAGCAACTCTTAGTACCTGACTTAATGTGACACACTTACAAAGGCCGAAAGAGGCAGCAAACCCGAGCTGAACCACGTATCCAGCACGTCCATATCTTGCTCCAAGTCTTCATCTCGCAGCTCGCAGCCCAGCTCCGTCTCCGCCTTCTGTCGAGCCTCCGTGAGAGACGCAGCAACAAACCACTTGTCGCTCGCTTCCGCTCCAATTGCGCCAGGTTTCAGACGATACGCAGGGATACGATGGCCCCACCACAGCTGTCGACTAACACACCAATCCTGGATATTATCCAGAAAGAAAAACCACGTGTGCGCATGGGATTTCGGCTCTATTGTCATCACGCCATTGCGAACGTTGTCTGCTGCGCGCTTAGCCATTGCGCTACAGTCCACATACCACTGAGGCATGAGCAGCGGCTCGATGACATCTCCTGACCGCGAGCAGATCGACAGCGCTGTGGCATGGTCAAGCTGAAGCAGTATAGTTAGAGTGAGACGTCTAGCTGTTGGACGATCATCCTACCTTGTCCACGTAAAGACTCATCTTCTGCAACGCCTCGACAACGCGTTGACGTGCATCAAACCTGTCCAATCCGATAAATTCCTGGTCGATATCACCACACAGTTTCCCGTACTTATCGATGACTTCCACTTCGGGCAGAGCGTGACGCTGGGCACACTCAAAGTCCTTCGGATCATGCGCTGGCGTGACCTTCACAACACCTATCAGCAAATTAAATAAACGCCTTTATCAGCCCCCTAGTTATCTCAATACTCAGCAGCCACGTGCAGCTGTACCAGTTCCCAGTTCCATGTTGACCAGCGTTTCATCGGTAACAATCGGTATCATTTCCTTCGAGAAAGGATGGAGCACGTATCTCCCGTGATATCGTTGATACCTCGAGTCGTCTGGGTGCACCGCCACCGCTACGTCTCCAAAAATGGTCTCAGGTCGAGTGGTATCCACTTCCAAATACTCATCCGAGTCGGCAACTTGGTACTTGAAGCGATGCATGACGCCAAACTCCACGGCTTTGTCTCTTCCCGGTAACATTTTCCTGGTGGCTTTCTCCAATTGTTCCGCGTCCACTTCGATATCTGAAATGGCCGTTTGTAACGTCGGACACCAATTGACCATCCTGCGTTTACGGTACACTAATCCTTTCTCATGGAGCGTCACAAAGGCGTTAATTACGGCCCCGGACCGTTGTTCATCCAGCGTAAAATACGGTTGGTCTTTCTTCACAATTGCGCCGAGATGGTCGATCTGGTTCATAATTTTGCCTCCGTATTGCTCGTTCCACTGCCACACTTGGTCCACGAAAGCTTCACGGCCTAAATCGTAGCGAGAGAGGCCTCGCTCCTTGTGTAGCTTCCTCTCTACGACACTTTGCGTTGCAATCCCTGCGTGGTCTAATCCCGGGAGCCAGCGAACATCGAAGCCGCGCATACGGTGCCAGCGAGCGATGGCGTCCTGGATAGTGATGGTCAATGCGTGGCCGATATGGAGCGCTCCTGTGACGTTAGGCGGCGGCAGGATCATACTGAACACCTTATTAGAGGAAGATGTATCCATACGCTTTAGTGGAGTGTTTGGAGACAATGCTTGCTGCCAGTATTGCTGCCATCCTTGCTCGACAACTGTCGGGTCGTACGTCGGAGCCAAAGGTGCATGTTTCACGCGCTCACGTAGCTCACTAGTCAGAGGAACTGACAATGAAGATATTGAGAGAATTGATGAAGAATTTAGATTCGAATGCACACCAAATACACCAGAGAAACGCCATGTGGAGCGCAAGACACGCCGCGACGCGAAGCTCTTAACGCACCCGCGCCGTGCCAGCATTTTGAGGCTGGAAAAGGCTGCGTGTGGTGCACACCATATCCAAAGATGGGTACAGACAGGACTAATATAATGTTCGATACATCATTTATGGTCCCACCGAATTCTTTTTCAACCAATCGTAGCTCAGTGCGAGATGTCGGTGCTGGTGGAGACGACGCTGGGAGCGCTGGTGCTGGACTTGTTCGTGGAGGACTGTCCGCTGGCGTGCACCAACTTCCTCAAGCTGTGCAAGACCAAGTACTATCACGGCTGCCTGTTTTTCAATGTGCAAGAGAACTTTATGGTGCAGGCAGGGGACCCCACAGCCACTGGGACTGGCGGGGACTCTATTTATGGCAAACTCTATGGTGCTCAAGCCAGGTATTTTGAGGACGAACTGCCAAAAACAAAGGGGAGGTCCCATGAAGACCGCAGCGGACTGTTAGGGATGGCTTCGGCTTCAGCCAATCAGAACGCGTCCCAGTTTTACATCACCACAAGGGCCGAAGATATGGCATATCTGGATGAGCAACATTCTATTTTTGGCGAAGTGGCAGAAGGCATGGACGTATTGGACAAAATCAACGCGTTATTTGTGGACAAGGACTACAGACCGTACCAGGATGTCAGGATCAAGCACACGTACGTGCTGGACGACCCGTTCCCGGACCCTAAAGGGCTGGACGAGCTGATCCCTCCGTCGTCGCCCACTCGGGAGAGACCCGAAGAGGAACAAGTGGAGCCGAGACTTGCAGCTGACGAGAAGCTGGACGAGAATGAAGGCAGAACGGAGCAGGAGATCGAGAAGGCCGTACGAGAGAAGGAGGCCAAGTCCCGTGCTGTAGTCCTCGAGATGATCGGCGACTTGCCAGATGCAGACGTCAGGCCGCCGGAGGAAGTTCTCTTTGTGTGTAAACTGAACCCCGTGACGGAGAGCGCAGATCTAGATATGGCGTTCTGCAGGTTCGGTCCGTGCAAGTCGGAGGTGATTCGAGATCAGAAGACAGGGGACTCGCTGTGCTTTGCGTTTGTCGAGTTCACCGACCGTAGACATTGCGAAGAAGCGTACTTTAAGATGAACAATGTGCTGCTGGACGATCGACGGATCAAGGTGGATTTCAGCCAATCGGTGTCCAAGCTGTGGAATAAAGTCAAGCGACGGCCGTGGGAGAAGACGAGCAAGCGTGACGGCGATACGTACGCCGATAACAGGAAAGGAGGGCGTGGTAGTAGGAACGGCGGAGGACGCCGTGAATTGGGTGGTGACTTGAGATTGAAGTCACGCGGTGCGGATGAGTTTAAACTCGTGGAGGAAGAGGAAGCGGCGTCGTCGCGTCGATCTAAACCAGCCTCTGGGCGTGATGACCGCACACGAAGCCGTAGTCAAGATCGAAGGCGATCGGCGCGCAGGGAAAGCGACTCAGCTCGATACAAGCGAACGAGTCCCAGCCGCGAGCGTGGCAAGGATCGACACCGTGAAAGACACGAACGACGACGCCGAAGCCGGAGTCGTTGCCGGGATCGCGACAGACGCAGTCGTAGTCGGAGTCCTAGCAGCAGTCGCAGGGGTAAACGAAATGGCGATCGCGATCATCGTTCAAGGTAATTCTTGTACAGAGGGAATTGGCATATTTTAATGTCGTCCATCGTCCGACGCGGAATTTCCAAATGGTAATTTCTATCTCGCTTGATTGGCGCTTGGACAAGGGGGACACAACGTTGAAGACGAGATGTCGTCAGTCTTTAAAACTGGAATGTACCGCTCACTTATCAGAACATGCTCTTGAGCTTTGACGACGTATATGACGGTATGTACGACGCGAGCTTGGTTGGGTGACGCTTTTTTTGAGAGCAATGAAGAAAGCATCGGTCGAGAACAAAGGCGCTAAGTAACCTTAGTAGTTTGTGGATTCGACGCGATCAAACGAGTTGGGTGCGAGACCATAATAAAAAGGCTAACATTGCACACAACCGATTCCTTATTTTCTGTAGTAAGTCAGCCAAAAAAGATGTAGTGTGTTACTGAAGTACTACAGTAGTACAATGTACTACATGTAGTACATTGAATTCACTTATTCAGATCTCATTTACTTTTAGGTGGTTAATAGCTCCGTAATACCGGTATGTAAAAAGGTTCGAAGTTACTACAGTAGTTACAGTATCATGGGGCTCTTTCCTTAATTAACATGTAAACAAGGATCACGATAGCTCTCGGATACTACTACATGTAGTGCGTCTCTGCAAAGAAGCTTCAAAGCGATCGATGAAATACGTTTCCCTCTGGATGACGTCAAGCGGCTCGACGCGCATCAAGTGCAGCTCTCGCGTTTCTTCAAATGACAGCGCGGAATCATTGTGTGCAAATCGAGCGTCGACAATATGTGCGTCGTGCGGCAATATGTTATCGTCAAAGAACATTGCGTGAACACCGTCAGCAAGATCCGTAGGGTCGACCACCAAAAGCTTTCCCGCGGAGGCATCTTCTTTATTGCGGAACCAGTGCGGGTAGAAGTCACGTAGAGCTAACGTCGCCTGCGATTCTCGCCAATGTCGCGTAAGAAGATGGTGGATTTGAGGTAGTCCTTGCACTACCCTTACGGTTTCTCTTTGGGTAGAGTAAAACTCAAGGGGCTCAGCATCACTGACTGTTGTGGGCTGTTCGAAGGTGCCCATTACCAAAGCTGTAGTGCCCTCGGCGCGCAAAAAAGTTCCGAATCGAGGCATTTCCCCGTCCAATATTTCATCAAGATGAATCCGTCGATCGATTCCTCCATCTGATCCATCCATAGGCTTAGCCAACGGGAAGCATGGGTGACGTCCTTCACAAAAGTAGTTAAACTCTTGTGCCACACGACGCAAGTCGTCGCCAAAAGTTCTGAAGATGAGATTGAACTTGACCTCGTTCTGCTGCAAATGCTCCAAGAATCTGAAAAACGCCGGCACGATGAAGCAGTGCGGTGACTCGTCCAGTCCCAATTCCTTCAGCTGCGTTTCGCTCGCTTCCGTGCGAGGTAGTAGCAAGTGCTGCAGCAGTTCTTCATGCTCGCTTTTCAACCCCTCTCCAGGGTTCCCCGTAGCCGTGAAATCCTGACGTAGCACCTTCCTCGTATGCTTATTCTCCTTGGCGATCTTGGGGTCTCCTGATAAGGAAAACTACACTCGTAACAGCGTCACAATTACCAATTCACGTACCCAAGGGCAGCAACGTCAGCAGCTAAAATAACCCACCTTGGCTCTTAGAAATGCACCATACGACACTAGACCGTCTTCCCTTGGAGCGTCAAAAGAAGGCAGGTCCAACACTTTCTCTCCATTCCATAACCACTTGGAATCATCACTACCCTCGTCGATCACGCGACCCAAGGCCCGTTCCGTCAGCAGATCGTTCACAATGTTCGGTAGAGTCTTCCCCTGCACTGGATCGTGCATAATCATCGTCTGGCAGCAGCAGGGCAACGCGCAGTTCGGTCAGCACGATGAAAAACTATTCAATGATCTCCAAGTCAGCAATAAGTGGATAGGAAGGCTGCCAACCTTGTTCACATCGAAGTACAGCAGCACATGCGGCGTCAGCGTCGCCATCGTCTCAAAGTGAGGGAGTGTATTCTATCAACAATATTTATGTCAATCACACTATTTTGCATCTTTCTCATCTAGTTAGTGTACGCAACATACATCCCCTCACCTCCGCACTGATCACGATGGCGTCCAAGGAGGACACACCGTTGGGGGCGCTGCGCGCGCTTCGTGCCCACCTGATCGCGGGCAAACCCGTAGAGGTGGAGGGCGAGAACCTCGTATTCCGCGATGCGTCTGGCTCGGAGCTGCGACGGCTGCCTAAGCACGCGCCCACGGCCTACCACTCGAAGAAACTGGACAAGAGCTACGACCTGTTGGCCGTACACACGTGCTTCAAGCACGCCGACTTGTCATTCAGTGACTATGTACTTAAGTGCCGTGAAGACAAGGCAGCCATGGTGTCCACAGTGGACAAGAAGGAGCTCGTGGCGTTCCTCAAGGGAGACATCGACAGTAGTCCTCAGATTCTGGACGCAAGTGGGAAACCTACGGCCGCTTCGGGCGATAAGGATAGGAAACCCGCCGCAAAGAAGACCAGAGAGCCCGAGGACGAGGCTCGAGCCGCTAAGAAGCGGAAACTCGCGCAAGAAAAGGAGAATCATCGTCATAAACACGGAGAGGGCCATAAAAGCCCGCAGGAGCTCAAACAAGACGAGCAGATGAAGAGGATAACAGACCGAGAATACGTCAACAGGACACGCACGACGGTGCTGGACGCACACAAGACCAAGTTCGAGAACGTGGTCAAGACGCTGGAGCTCGTAAATGCTGAGACTAAGGAGAAGATCGAGAAGGCCAGTAAGGCCTCGGCGCTGCTGGCTACCACGACGGTCAGAAAGGAGCAGCTGCCTCTGCACAGACTCGTCAAGGAGAAGATCTTGGGTACGCCCATCATTGTGGTCCCTGCTGGTTTCTCGGACTTGTTCACCATGCTGAACGCCAAGGACTTTCTGGAGGACGGAGTGTACGTGTCCAACATGCAGAAGAAGTCGGAGGGACAGCGTAAGCAGCAGTCGATGATGATTACGCACGAGGAAGACGGGCACGTGTACACGTTCAAGGTCGTGGACACGGTCAACCGGTTCAGGGACAAGGACTGGTGCGTGGGGTTTTGATACGTGTGTGGTAGGACGACGCACTAATGGCTATTGATTCTGCTGTTTAGGCGCTCGGTTGTAGGCGTCATTGTGTCGGGGCAGTCGTGGCAGTTCAAGGGCTGGAAGTGGAAATTCCCGCTCGAAGTGTTCAAGAAAGGTAACTAACAGTCTCGCGTAGTACTTGGCTTCCCATTTATCGTGGCTTACTCACGAGCTGTTGCTGGTGTTTTCTGCAGTGTGTGGAGTCCACATCTACAACCAGGGATCGCAGCTGAACCCAGAAATTAAACAGTGGGATGTCAAGGTGCTTATGGTAAGAGGACACCGAGTCACTGTATGTGGGTTTACTGCGCGGCGGCTAATTAGTGTTGTGTACGATAGATCCACCCGGACAAGCGGCATCTGGACAAGGTGGCAGCCAAAGAGTTCTGGCGCTACTTGTTCGCTTTCATCAAGCACAAGCTGCAGTAAGAAGCGAGCGTAGAGCAGCAATAGGAGGAACAAATGTACTGCACGAAGCTTACGATATGCCGACGCAACGAAGACACAACTTGTAACAGGCAGACAACAAGGGCTGGATGTTCGGAGTGTACTGCGTTCGACTCGTTACCAGTGAGAATTGACTCTGTTAACTTTTGTGGCCTTAGGAGCAATGCAGAGATGGTGGAAATTAAATCTTGAGAGCTTGAAGTCGAATTCCGTTGCGTGGCGATGATTGCGATTCGATTCCGTGTGGTTCAACCAGGTCATCGAGAGCTTGTCGGCGCTTGGAATTCGCCCCGAGAATAGCGACGTTGCAAGCTCCAGTCGCCTGGCAGCAGTTTCATCGTCACGATGCGGTGGTTTTTGTTTCTGCGAGGGCTGAGCTCGTCTAATTCGAGATGCACGTGCGATGTGCTGGTCCAGGGCAATGTCGGCACTTTTGACGTTTGTAGTTGCAGCCCCGCAGAATTCCCGCTAGCGTCACGAATTGTCGCTGCGTCGGACGCGATTCAAGGTATCCATCCAGTCAAGTAATTGTGCCGCTTACCAATTCGACCTTTTTGTCAGGACGGACGCACCCCTCGCAACGCAATACGCGGCTGGGGACTGAGCAACGGTGGCGTCACGACAACGCCGAAAGAACGAGGCATCGGTGGTGGTACCAACGGATAAAGAGGAGCCGATAGAGGGCCAAACCAAGCGCACGGGACCGCAGATGCCGACTCTGTCGTCGAGCAGCCAGCAGGGGATCCCCGTCAAGCAGGCGGGCAGTGGTCTCTCCTCTAGTGGCGCAGCGTCAGACGATGGCGGTGGACCCAAACGCGTGCTCAAACACGCCATGACGTTATCGCATTTCCCATCCAACCGAAGCTTGAACAAAGTGGCGCCCGAGGATGTGATGCCTCCGCCGCCACCGACACGACAGCAACAGGTGATGGCGTTTGTCGAGAACCAGTACATCAGCTCCTTCATGACTGCTTGCACCATCTTTGCGCTCTTTGGCGACGACTTCCGGGTGAGTTTCTTCCCGAAAAGTGCCGACGACCACGTGTACAACGTGCTGTTTGCACTCTTCATCTTCTTCTCCATTGAGCTGTGCTGTAACGTATACAGTCGTCCAAACTACTGGAACCACGGCCGAGGCTTCTCCTTCTACATGGACTTGATCTCGACGCTGTCTGTGATCCCGGACGTCGACTGGATCTGGTCCAAAGTCGTCGGGACGTCCAACTCGACGAGCGCGTCGCAAGCGGCCGCACTCAAAGCAGGTCGCGCGTCTCGAGCAGGAACGAAGGCAGGCCGAATAGTGCGACTGGTGCGATTGTTCCGAATGTTACGTATCTTACGTGTCGTCAAGAAGAACAAGAACGGCGAGACCAAGAAGATCGAGATCTCGGAGCCGTCCAAGATCGGCAAAGTGCTGACGGAGAAGACGACGCGGAGACTGATCGTGCTAGTGCTGCTGATCATCATCGTGTCTCCGATCATCGACGGCACAGTGGACTTGACACAGGACGATTTCCAGACGTCGCAGTTCGAGCGGCTGCATCGCTACACGCAGGACTACAACAAGACTGGATCGATCACTCTGGCGCATATGCGGAGTCTGGTGAACGAATACGTACGCGATTCCAACGGCCTGATCGTGCAGATGGAACTCTCCAGTATCGACAATGCTGTGCTGAAAACATGGCTACAGGCAGTCAAGTTCCAGTCGCTGAATAGTGACGGAAGCGACTGGCACTTTGGGTCGAATCAAACACGTTCCAAGAACCCGAAAACCGGGTGGTCTGCCTTATATCTCGTGGACAATCCAACGGAAAAGTATCGCACCACCGAGATCACGACAGTGGACAATCTGGGGTGTTATGTCAACGACATGTGTGTCGACTGCGACGCCGCTAGTGGCATGAGTCGCTGCCATTCCGCTGTCACGTTCGACATCTCGTCGTATACACAGAACGCAGCCAACTTGAACATCGGCAAGACGATCGTCGTGATGATCTGCTTCGCTGTATCCATCTTCGTGCTGACGAAAGACGCCGAGTCGATGGTTATTGGTCCGATTGAGCGCATGATGCGTCTGGTAACACAACTCGCTCAGAACCCTCTCGGCTCGACTGAAGCCAAACGCGAGGAATACGAAGAAGACGCACCCAACGGCACGGACTACGAGACCAAAATGCTCGAAGATACACTCAGCAAGATCGGTCGATTACTACAGGTAGGCTTCGGTGCTGCCGGTACAGAAATCATCGCGAAGAACATGGGCGGAGCTGGCGACTTCGACGTGATGATCCCTGGCAAGAAGATCACGTCGGTCTTTGGCTTCGGTATCATCGAACACTTTACCGAAACGTGTAGTATCTTAGAAGAGGACGTCATCACGTACATCAACACAATCGCCGAGATTGTACACGGCGACGCGAAGGTTTTCCATGGCGCAGCGAACAAGAACATTGGCTCGGCTTTCCTGTTGGCGTGGAAGATCTGCGACGGCTCTTTGCCTGGGATGCGCGACCCGCGTGACCCTGCCGATAAACCTCGCATGCTGCCGGCTGATAAGGCGAGGAAACGCGACGGTATCTACATAAAGAGCGTTGGATCGGGCACAGTAGTACGACGTGTCGGACCGACGGAACTTGTGGACAGCGCCCTGACTGCTGTACTGAAGATGCGTGTCGATATTCACAACGCCAACCACCACGGTACTTTGCACAAGTACTGCACGAACACCAAGCTAATCGCTGCCTTTGACAGCTTCGAGGTACATTTAGGCTTCGGACTGCACATCGGCTGGGCGATTGAAGGCGCGATTGGCTCGAGATTCAAGATCGACGCGTCGTATCTGTCTCCAAACGTCAACATGGCGGCGCGTCTCGAGGCCGCGACCGGTCAATTCGATGTCCCGATGCTTCTCTCGGAGTGGTTCGTGGACGAATTGTCAATTGAGGCGCGTCGATTCTGTCGTAAAATCGACCGCGTGGCTGTAAAAGGCAGCGAGATCCCCATGGATTTATGGACGTTCGACATCGGACGGTATCCTTCAGAAGGGGTCAAGCCAGAGATCAGCGAGGAAGGGAGGCAAAAACCGGTCGAGTTCGGCGTTGACCCCATCTTCAAATCGCTCCAGGAAGGCATTCCGAGCGCCTTCTTTTCGAATTTTCATGAAGGTATCGGCGCCTATTTCGCAGGGAAATGGGATGTGGCAAGGTCCAAACTCTCCACTGCTAACCAGATCTGGGAAGACGGACCCACCAAAGTCGTGCTCAAGGTCATGGAGACCGAAGGAAAGACACAAGAGGGTGAATTTATGGCTCCTAAGTGGTGGAAGGGCTTTCGACAGCTCACAGAAAAGTAATAGCACGTTAATCCTTAGCAAATTTATTAATAATAAAAACATGGACTTCCTTTTGAAAGAATGGATACATTTGATTTTCCTGATTTTGATTGGAGTAAAACAAGCGGTAACCTTTTTAGCCAATCCAACGTAGGTGTCATTGCTCAGTTCGTAACAACGAATGCGCGTGGACGTCACCTCGCGCTTCCGAGAGCTTGCCCCAGCGCGGCCCTGCGTGTCGTCAAGACGCCCTAATGCCTTCTCCATTGAAGCCATGGATTTGGTGCGTTGATAGACCAAAATTTCAGAGCGATTTCGCCTCTGTTCCGATTAAATTAATAGTTTTTTTCGGATGCCAAACTCGTTATTTTCCTATTTTACTAACTAAATTATCGTCATTACATTTTAGTTGGGCAGCTTACTGGAGATAGAGAAGCTGCTGCGTCGTGTGAAGCCAAAGTATCTGCTGTCCAAGTGCTTCGTCCGGACGAAAGGGTCCCGTATGAGCGAGGAGGACAAGGACGAGCTGGACGCAGTACGTCGGAATAATGTGTCCCTTTTAGCTCAATATGATACGGGACAAAGTATATTCATTCTGCATATGGATCAGGACCTGGTGGAGCTTATTAAGAACTGCAGCAGCAGAATCGACGCACTTAAGGCGACGGTGGAAGCTCAACGTGAGTTTGTCTAAAGATTATTTAGTGGCAACAGTAGAAACGGAGCTGACTAGCGCTGTGAAGGTCTTGTCTCCCATGTGGAAGAATATCAACGAGAAGTGGTGGCCTACTTGCTGGAGGTAGGTCTTCTTTTAATTTATTTTCTTAGTATTTTAGAAGTTTTAATATTTTTTATTGATCATTGCAGCGGTTGAAGAGTATTGCAGACGGCGCGAAGCAGATGCAGAAGAAAAGATACCAGCAGCCATTTCTGCTGTCGTCACGGTGAGCGCGCAAGTAAAATATTATTTAAATAAATAAGGCATGCTAATAGCTTCGTTTGTGGTGTTTGGGATGCTGTAGCTTGCTGCCTGAAGACGATCGACAGGAGTTGGATGCGCTGGAACAGAAGATCGTGCGGACGAGAACCGAGCAGGGCAAGAAGACACAGATCTCTCCGAGGATTGTTGCCGTGCCGACGCTCTCGTCTCCCGTGTCTCCACCTTCGTCGCCATTATTCCAAGTGAAGCCAGAAATCCGCCAGCGCGCCACTTCGAAAGTGCGAAAGCCCACATCCACAGCTCGGGTATGTGCAGTATTGAGGTTGATAACTGCCGTTATCGCTCTAACCTTTAACGTTATGGTGCTAACCAAGCAGCAAGCGCCGGTGTTTGCCTCTCAAAGCGACGATCTTGCGTTCACAGAGGAGGAAGATCGTCGATTCCGTGTGGAGAATGTGATGCTGCATCGTCACTTCCAGGAAAACCTCGAGGATGCCAAGTGTGTACTTCGTGGTTATAATTTGTGGGAGTTGGTATCGCCGTACTCACTCTTTGTTTCCATTTTCAGGAAAATGGAGTCGAAGATGGCCGAGATTTCCAACTTAATGGGTCAATTCGCGGACAAGATCATGGAGCAGCAAACGGACATTGAGCTCATCCAGCACCACGCGCAAGAGACAAAGTCCAACGTCACTCAGGTGCGTGCTGTACTCTAAAAAGTACGCTGCCCAGTACTCACTAACTTTCCACTCAATAAATCCTCAGAGTAATCGCATCCTGGAGCAGACTCAACAGATCGGCAAAGGCTACGGCTTCCTCATCTTCTGCTTCTACCTGAGCTTCTCCGCTCTCCTGCACATGCTGCACTACTTTAACAGCTAAAATACACGCGGCAGAGCTCTTCAAGGTTACTTACCACCAATCTAACGTTATTTATGCGTCTAGATGGCGTCGACAGCGTCCTGACTGAAACCTTCGTAGCACGTGAGTCCGTCGGCATTCAGCAGATCGTCTCGAGCCCCTTTGTCCATCAGATACTCCATCAAGTCGTGGAAGCCGTACTCGTGGCAGTAGTGGAGCAGCGATTGGCCGTTCAAGTTCTGCGTGTTGAGGTCCGCTCCACGACGCAGACAGAGCTTGGCGATGCGCTTGTTGTTGTTCTGACAGGCCACAGACAGCAGCGTGTTGCCCGTCGAGTCTTTAGCGTCGATCCCGAGGGACCAGTCCGGACTATTGAGCAGCAGCTCGACCTCGTCGTATTTCCCGTGTCGACAGAGACTGAAGAGCGTCTCGAGCTGTTCAGATTCTTTCACGGCTTGGGAGACGGCGTCGCGTTTCTCGATGATGGCTACGACGGGTTTTGCGCTGGCTGCTACTGGTGGAGCGGAGTCTGTGGCGCTTTGGACGAGCTCTGGACGCAGCGTGAGGTCTGCGATTAACTGCTTGCTGAAGACCGAGCGTCCTGCTGTCCACGGCGAATATCCGATCGCCAGCCACTCGTCCAGAGCCCCACGAGGCCGCACAATGCCGACACTAGTCGGTTGGTTCGTGTTCTTGATGACGGGCAGGTAGTTGGCCTGCATTTGACACGTTTTGGTACTGGTTACAGCTGCCACAAAGTCTCTAGGAAGACACGCTACTCGTTGGTGTAAGGCTCCCCCGAAGCCTTCGACTGCGGTTTGACTCGCTCCAGACGCGTCCACAGGCTTCCGCACCCAGGACTTTCCCTCTCCTGGCGGTGGGTGGGTCTGAAACCCTGGCGTTTTCTTGCCTACATGAGGTCCTTCATCAAACTCGACGTCGTCCGGAGTGGGCGAGATATCGACCGATGCAGCCACGGAATAGCCGCTTCGTGAGGACAGCAGAGAGGCAGCGATGGACCTCGAGGAATCGGCTTGTTCGTCGTCTTCTTCCTCCTCTTCATCGAAGTCCTGAGTGTTGTGGCTCTGGAGCTTTGGAGCGAGTTCTTTGGGTGCTGCTAGTGCAGCTCTTGCAGGAGAACTGGTCTGCTGCTGGACACGCATACCGAGACCCATTCCAAGGCCGATGCCAAGCTGCAACATGTCGACGTTGGCTCCTTTAGCGACTCCACCGAGCGCTTGCGTGATGCTGTCAATCATCTGCTTGGTACTGCAGTCCAGCGACACTGTTGCGTCTTCCAGTTCGCGGGTGGAGTCCCCAGCCATCTGAACACTCGACCTGGTCGATCTCGCGGAGGACACTCGACTGGCAGCAATGCTACTGCGTTGTTGACGCTTCAAGGAGAGCTGCGGCACTTGGATACGCGTGAGTTCGTTCGTGTCAGTAGCAATCCGTCCCAGAGCTCTGGAGGTGACATCTACGACGATGTCGTGCTTCTTGGCACTTGCAGTCACAAGTTTAACACGCCGGTCCTTGTCTGCTGGAGCCTCCATCTTCTTGGCCAAATACTTGCGAAGATTCTGCTGCGAATACCGTGCGTCTTTCCCAGCGTCTCCAGTGGTAGCTAGACCGACGCCAAGTGTGGCGACTTCGCCTTCTCCGGTCGTGACAACACCGTCAATATCTCCGTCTTTACCTCGGAATTTCTCTACGGGTAGCACGGGACGTGTCCAAAAGGTATCGCCCGTGTTGCGGTCGTACCAGTACGCCACGCCGTCGTCCGTGACGAACTCGTCGTACGGACTATGCTGCATGTAAGCCCAACTGCGGTATACGACACTAGCGCACGCTCCGAGAGCACCGTCCGGGTTCGAGTTCTTCATAAAGTCGCCAGGTTGTTGCCTACCGAGCGTCGTGAAGGCTTGAGGCTGGTTTCGACTGGACTGGCCGATCCAGAGCAGGTGGATGAACTCCACGGGCGTATTCTCACGTGTTGTAGGCACACAGAAGGGGTACGTTCGATCCACGCGTGTGGTTACAGTCGCGTTCATCGACGCCACGTTCGGAGCCAGGATCGCGCTTGAAGGAGCGACCTGTACACCGCACACGGCATCATCCACAACAAAGGGGTCAACGAGCCAATACGTCCGGAATCCGTTGGCGTCTTCCTCTCCTGTTTGTTCTGGACGATTAGGGGGGAATCGACGGGCGTCGAGCGCTGCGTCGAGGTGGATTCGAGCAGCCACGACGAGACACGGAGGTCTCCGGACGTTCAGAGCATGTTGAAGCGCTCGAAACACGTACTCGGGGGTACGAGGCTCGACGACGAGACACACGAAGGTTACGCTCTCGTCACGTGATGGCGCGGGGGCTACGGCACGTCTGTCGAACACCACAATGTTACCAAATTGCGCCGGGATGTATGTGGTGACGAGCATGTGGATCAACAGTTGAGCGGACAAGCCACCGACGTCCATGTTGCCCCGTGTAGGCTTCCGAGCGAAGGTCGCGAAGAGCACGACCAGAGATCTCACGTGCTTGGTTCGTCTTGCATCGGTCGAGCCATGGGGAGGACTACACGCTCCGATCTGAAGCGCAGCCTTCTGTAGAGCAGCGATAGCCAGACGCGCTGATAACCTCTCTAGCCAACTAGCACTATGGCCTGCGTCCAAGTGGACGTTCGGGACGGGGAGTGGTAAGCGTTCTAGGAAGGTCGGGACAGGCATAGGAACACAACGTGGAGGTGGCAACTCGTAGACTCGAGGCTTGTACAGAGCTGTAGGTGTCGTGTACTCCGTCACGAGGATCCAGTTGCGTAGTTGCGGCTTAGCCGGTTGAATCATAATGACGTCGTGAAGAGGAACTGGGTGGGTACCCGTACGGTCTTTGGCAGTCACAGGAGCTTTCGGGTGGAAGTTCGCTACACTTTCCGAGTACTTGGAGACCCATTGAGCATTCTGAAGTGTGTTTTTGAGCTTGAAGAACGACGGGGGTCGGGTGGAATCCTTGCCACCTCGCAGTGCTCGAGGTAAGCGACCCGTTCGTATCTGTTCGAGGAATGATCGGAACCAGGAGCGAGTGTGGAGTTTACGACGCATGGTCTTGTTCCAAGCAGTCGACAGCTGGTCTAGTGCTCGGTAGATAGGATGTCGACACTCGATTACAGTCACGTATTGCTTTAACTTGCGGTCGTAACGCAGACTTGCTCGTTGCTTCATGAAGATTTCCTGGATCTCTTCCGCTCGGTATTTCCGACGCAGCTGGTCCAGTTCCCAGTTCGCACACATGAGGGCGCTCTCAGCTGAGCGAACTTTTCTAGTTGCATCTCTCGGGTCTTCGTGTAAGTCACAGTGACGTCCATTGCTGGCACTCCAGCAGTTGAAGCACACTCGTACAGCTTCTTGGCGAGCAGCGTCTCTGGACTCTGGATCCAACGCAGTGTCTTGCTGTTGCGAGCAGGTGGTCCTCGTTGTTTCCTCGAGAAAACCAGGGTCTGCCAGGTCACGGATATGTGGAGCCCGTCTCGCCGTCTTGGCTTTGCTTCGAGTACTCGATCGTGCTGGGGACTGCAGGTTACCCCGATCTCCTTTCACTCTCTTGTCTCGATCACGGGCCAGTACAGCGACGAATACCGGCTCTTCACGCTTGCCAAGTACGATCTCTCTTCGACGAGTTCCTGGCATCGCAGCCCCAGATTGGTTCCGAGACCGTTTACCACGAACAGATTTACGTCGTAGCACAGCGTTTGAAGCGATGAGTGAAGAGATCGAGTCGAACTTGGACACGTGTAGAGCAGTGCGGATTGTATCGCGCAGCTTACTGTTCTTACTGCCGTCTGCACGGAAGAGTGTGTCGTTAGTCTGCCAGTCGCTGGTGGGGTCGTCACTAGCAAGTCGGTCCTCTGGCTCCTCGTCCAGATGAAGAGACAGAGACCGCCTTTTATCGAGTAGTGGCTCAGGATCGCCTACGTCGCTGTCTGCATAGTCACCGTTGTCTTGAGTCTCGCTAGTGAGACTACGCTCTGAAGGGAGCACCGAGTCGCATTCCCACACATTTGGAGACGAAGGGATCGATTCGGGCTGAAGCGCCGGTAGATTTCGAGGAGATTTGATGGATTTCCTGGCTTCGATCGACCGACGAGTGCCAGATATCCGCCGCTGCAGTTCCTGATCACTGGATGTCGATCTTGCAGAGGAACACGACGGTGAAAGAGGAGGAAGAGCGTCAGGCCCCTTTAACGAAGAGAGTTGGGTGGTTCGCGATAGACTTTTCTTCGTACTACCACTTGAGTTCAGCACAGGAAGCGATCGAGACGCTGACATTCCAGTGGACATTTGTCCTACAGGAGGTTCCCATTGACTGACCCCCGTCGTCGCGTTATAGTACCAGACCTCGCCACGCTCGACATCACGCACCTCATGCCACTGATCCCCCTCAGACTCCACGTTGTTAGAATTCGCAACCACAGTAGCTTTGTGGTGGTCGCGCCACCTTCGACGACACAGAAACCCTCGAGACTGCGCTTGAATCAGCGTGGCACTAGTTTCCAGTCGGTTCTCGAGCGGTTGATCACGTTTCCGTTGTTTGTTTCGGATGGTTTGCTCCGTTCTGCGACGCTCTCCATTGTCAATATCCTCCTGTCGATTCTGTTCTCGTTGGAAGGCGCCCTTCTGCCATTCGACGCTGTGTTTTGACGGTCTCATATCTGGGTAGAACGTGTCTTTGGCTTGACGAATCCGCGTTTCTTCGGCATCAAATGCTGATGGATCAATTGGATCGATAGGACTGGCTGGCCCTAGTGGTGACTTAAGGTCTTGATCGTTCTTAGGCTTAGTATCATCTTGGTTCTCCTCGTCGTCATCATCTAGAACTTCGATCGTCAAGCGCGTTTTACCTTCTTTGGACGACGTTCCAGTACCGACTTTTGGGTTTTTCTTTGGAGTTTTTACGGGCGTCTTGACGAGTCTCAACAGTTCCGCTGTTTCTGCGTGTAGCTGGACTAGACTTTCATCACCTTTAAAGACGACCGGAACTCCATCGGCAGAGACTTCATCCTTCTTCTTTCGCTTCGGGGCTTGAGTTCCAGCGTTGCGTTTCGAGAAGAAGGAGCGCATGCTAATACCACATGACATCCGCTACAAAATTAGCACGGAAGGAGGTGGCGTTTCAATATAACGATGCAACTTAAGGATTTAATCGCGAAAAAATATTAAAACAAAGTTTTGGCTATAGTTGTCTGTCGGCAATACAGCAATATGTGAGCCGCGGTTGCTGGTTATGTTGTCTGTGGATGCTCTCTCCTTTGAATCCCGTTCTATCTTCAGAGCTGCAGGTTTTGCTTCAAATTTTGTTTTGCGGATCTAGACGCCAAGTGAACCGAAGCTACGGTAAATATGATAACCACAACAGTTATCCGTATGTCCTGCTCATCAGGCCAGAAGAACTCGATCCAGAAACGGCCGTCGTACATCGAGGACCACACCAGGAATGGTACATACATTTGCACCGCTATCTCACACATATTCCGGTCTTTAACGCCGCTCGTCCCAAAGTACCCCCCATGGTACAATCGTCGTTAGTCTCGCAAAATGCTTTTCCTGCTACCACCTCCCACTTATTGTCATTATCTTCGTATTCATCAATATTACAGTCGATCCAGCCCTTCGTCGGGTGACTTGCTGGATCGCACCCAAACTGCATGTAGTTATCGGCTTCGAGGTCATGACTCAAGTCCAGGTACAGACGGATGTACATGTAGTCGATTTTCATGTACATCGGGAAAGCGTCGCAAATAGCGTTCGTCGTGCCGACACTCCTCCTGACCCGGGTTTGGTGGCGTCGTATTCCACGAACTCGACAATACAACATTGAAAATCACGTACAAAGGCTCCTCAACCGGTTCGTCTTTTTCGAATTTTGTGGGACGTTCACAATCGACTCAGTCGTGACCTCGAACAGCGGGGCTCCATTAGCATCCATCGTACGTATCTGTGCTTACCCGTAATCCATTCCACCTGGTAGTTGTCGACGGTGCATAAATTCTCCGTGAGATTCCCTTCTTAGTCGATACAGCAGTCGATTTCGTTCTGTTTGCAGAAACTGTTGGCTCCATTCCGGAGGGCCTCGCTCTTGCTCGTAGTATGATGTTGGGACGTCGATGTAGTTGGCACCAGGTGCCAAACAGTTGTTGGTGTACATACAGAAACTGTAGTCTCCGGTTGTGTATCGACGGACGATAGTCATTGGGCATGCCTGGAGCAACCTGTAGCGATCCGAGATAACCAAGCCGCCACCTTCCAGCACATCAATTTCAGGTGCGCCGCGGCCTTGATTCGGATTGAGGCCGTATCCGGGGTTGCTATCGCATGCGCTAATACGCTGAAAACTTGGATCAAAGACGGCGGAGTCGCATCGATTATAGGATAACGGCCACATTCGATTCCTCGATGCACAGAAAATGGCTCGACCAAGGTTACCCAGCATGCAAATACCGGGCCACGTCGGGTATTATAGAACTTAGCGCTCTTGACTTTGCCACTTGGCCCGAGAGCAACATCTGATTGCCGGATTCTGCTCCTGGAAGTTGGGCTCGCACTTCACCTTGGTAGCAGAACTTATTCCATGACTGTACCGCGATACCAGAAGTTAACGTCTTCAAAACTGGGGGGATGCGTGTACATTTTGTATGTACGGATGACATTCACTTCATCAATGGTTTTGACGTAGAAAAAAAAAACGTCCCATTACCGGCGCATTTCGTCGAAGTCATATTGTGAGAGTATAGCTGATGTGCACCATTGACACCGTCGGGCTTTTCGACAGAGGTCCACATATGATCGTCACCAGATCGGAAGCTGCGGTTAGCCACATTGAACTCGTCGCTCATTACAAGATCCCTTTGTCTACCACGGGGGCTGGTGTAAATGTATTTTTCCTAAGGTGTATCAGGGTCAACCCAAATTCCAATTCCTGACTTAGTGGGGTACGCTAACGTGTTATTTGAAGCCACAACGTATGTGGTCCGGGCTGTCCAAAGAGCCAACACTGACACAGCAGCGTGCAGAGCAAGATGTCGGAACAGCAGCCAATGTGGAAATGAGATCGTCGTGGCAAATTGTCATATGATTTATTTTAATAAACAGGCTAATGGCAATCCCAACATTTATGCATTTCACATAGGACACACGTGGTACATGTAGTTCGAAACACAAAACAATTAAAAGTACGAATCACGATCAATGCTGTACATGTGAAGAAGTACGTCTACTGTATGTATGATAATACATTAATCCTGTGTACAATCTGCAGACATGTCGCGGGGCTGGATATTTGATTATCATAAAGCCCGTACTGCTGCCAGTAGTCTTCTAACGGACTGCGTTGCCCGCGGATAGCTCCGGATATTATCGAAAATTTCAACAATAAATAACGAGGAAGGGCAATACTTTCGAATCTAAAGTATCACCCTTCCTCATTATTTATTTTTGAAGTCATCCTCCCTATCTTCTCAGCAACACGTCCCACATTTTTCAAATCGCGGCGACCAGACACAACGCTGTCTATTAATAACTGTGGAAGAAGATATAAGTGCAGGAGAATGATACCGAGTTGAGCTGATCCTTACTTCCGTGAACAAGCAATATTCAAAAGCCCTTACTCAAGTATAAAAGGGGGGGCATTAAATAATAAAATATTAGTAGCACGGGTATCATATGGCAAGGGTTATTATGATGTCGAGTGGCAGGTATTTAAATGAGCGTACTGAGGGGTGTTTTGGTATTCGTAGAACTAGGTCGTCTGCGACTTACACTAAGAATGCAAATACAGATTTTTTTCTTCGAATTGGGCCTCTTTTTTTCTTCGAGTTTTGATAGGTAAAATTTAATTTATAAAAAGTATTTCAGGTGTCTGTATCAACTATCAATCCTCATCAATGATACTGGGACGCACCACTCGACAACTTGTGCCTAGATTCACTGGATAAATTTGTGAGGATAATCATTCTTTCTTCGAGTACAATTTCTTAGCAAATCTATCTGGTCCACAGAAGCTGTGTCGGCAGCACAAATTGCTTTTCTTAGGCTCCCCGCAGATTCATTTTGCAACTGTTTCTTTTTTTTTCTTTTGATCAGCGGCGACGAATAGTTGTAAGCACGCGAAAGTATTGCTCAGTGACCGAACTTGCACAATACACCTAAAGAATTCTCGGTAGCAGTGGGCAATTCTTCACATTAGATTTAAAAAGGCTTCTATACTGCAACAGAAAGTAAGACAACATAGAAGACCCCTTTCATCAGATCAGCTTTTTATGGCTGGTGTCTACCGGCCGCGCTCAAGTGTTTGTTTCCTTTCCCCGCACACATTGTATAGCGTACAATACGCGACTTTTTGCTCAACAACTCACTTCATCATTGAGAAACATGTTTTTGAAGTTATAATTTTTTTTACCCGTGATGACCCAGGTTACATTACGCGTTTTGTTCTACACAGTACCTTGGATTTAAATCGGTGTGGGCTGTCCATACATTTATGAGGCATTTCTAGTTTACACGTTTCACTAACCAGCTGTAAGTTCCAAGCGGCTAGTTGAAATCAAAAACACACTGCTAGCCCAAGAGTCGCATTTGACATCCTTTACCTGACGTAGCAAAAATATGTGCACGCCAGCTATCAAATCAACTAGTTTTGTATCTTGGTAAGCGATTATTCTGTGATTCTCTTTCGCTCATTGGGGATAAAATTATTGACCAATCGAATACGGCTTGAAACTATTTAATCGGAAAAGCCAATACGCAATTTGAACTTTATCTGTGACAATTGACCAACCCTGTGAAGTTGTAATTATTGCCAAGGCAACGCGAAGAACTCCCATTTGAAACTCAAAAACTAATGATCGAAAGATTGATAAAAGAACCTGGAAAGTGGAACTCAATATCTTGCAGCTTAGCCAACGAGCAGCCTCTGCTCTACACCCTGTAACACCGACTCAAAGCCCATATGCTTGAGGTTTGACAGTAGTTGGCACGTTCCACCGACCAAATTCTGACGGTTCGGTAACTCGCAGCTGAAGTGGACGGTCATGTGCATGCACACCTTTACAAGAGTCACTCCCGGAGATAACTCACTCAAGACAAGCCAGTGTTTCTCCTCGAAATCGACCCCATTAACGACCGCCCCAAACGCTTCCAACATCTGATTTTCGCCAGAAAGAACGAGTACTTCCCGATGTGGGTCAGCGATGCGCTTGCCTGCGTAACAAAACTGGATCTTGACCGGGTAGCCTTCTTCTTCAAGCCCCAGAGTGAAAGCTTGAGATACCGCCGCCACTTTGGCTTCCTGCGGTGACTGACGTGCAAAGAGGTTACATTAGTGCTAAGCTCATGTGTCCATTTCATGAAGGTTTGCAGTCTTACCTGACCGTGGTGGACTGCGCTCGCCACATAGTTCTTGGTCATTTCATGCCAGAAGGAGTTCCCAACATCTTTGTACCCGAACGGAATGATCCGAGTGTATAAGAACTCAATGTGCGAGATGGTGTCTGAGATCCATTTCACGTTCGTTTGCGAGCTAGGTGAAGTGATGGCGCTGAGACCATTTGACAGGAGTACATGATCCGTCTCCCTATATAGTTGTCCGAGACCTCCGTGGAGTCGCTTTGTAGTTTCGATCGACACGATAGCTGGGTCAAAATAAGAGTGGATGGAGTATCTCGGCGAGAAACGGGGTGTGCTCTGCAGCAGAAGGATATTAGGAAGCTGTAAGGGATACTCGGTGACTACAAGAATATGTACCTTACCTTCATGTGTGCTTGTAGCTGCAGAAGCCTTCTCAACATATCAATTGAAGTGGCATGACGTGCGTAGATATCACAAAGTCGTCGATTCTCATTTTCGGCTTCGCTCCGTAACGCTTGGTAATTTATCGCTAAGCCCTTCCACACGTCGAAGAGGAGACCATTTTGCCGTCCTGAAATTGCCATCTTGAAAGTCGCTTCCTCATATTCTTGCTGCTTCTTCTCAAGCGCAGCAAGTTGCTGCTGTAGTAATTCCGCCTCTGCACGTAGCTGTAGTATTTCAACGCGCTGTCGATCTCGAGATCGGTTCCTCTTGGGGAG